AGGTGATCCTTCCACCTCAGCCTTACAAGTAGCTGGAACTACAGGCATGCACCACCATGCCTGGCTAATTTTCTGATTTATTGTAGAGATGAGATCTTGCAAAGTTGCCCAGGATGGTCTCAAACCCCTGGGCTCAAGCAGTTCTCTCACCTTGACCTCCCAAAGTGCTGGGATTATAGGCGTGAGCCACCATGCCCAGTCAAAAACCAGGTTTTAAAAATACATGCTAGCCGGGTTCAGTGGCTCAGCCTGTAATCCCTCGCTTGGGGAGGCTGAGGTGAGTGGATTGCCTGAGCCCACGGGTTCGAGATCCGCCTGTGAAACGTGGCGAGACCTCATCTCTACAATAAAAAAAAAAAAAAATTAGCTGGGCATGGTAGTGCGCGCCTGTAGTTCCAGCTGCTTGGAAGACTGAGGTGGAAGGATCGCCTGAGTCCAGCAGGTTGAGGCTGTGGTGGCCGGGAGTGGCCACTGCACTCCAATCTGGGTGACAGAGTGAGACTCCTACTCAAAAAAAAAAAAAATGCTATGGTTCCTGAAGTCCCTCTACAAACAAGGCACAGGCTGTTGGCTGGTGGCCCTGCTGAATGCGTAATCAATGGAGCCTCAGATGCCATCAAGCCAGGGCCAAGACATGGTGCTAAGTTGGATACGCATCGCATACAGTTTTCCAAAGTGGGCATGGGCTGGGTGGGGGTAGGGGATGCCGGGGCAAAGACATGGAAGGTGGCTGCTTCTACACAGACTGAGCAAAGAACAGAAGAGCTTGCAACAGCAGCTGAGGAATCGCGAGGGTCACAGAGCTCAGGTCAGGCCTGAAGCCACCCTTGCAGTATTAGACTCCTTGCTCCTTTCAGATTCAAACCATGCAGAAGGATTAGGTTTCATTCTTAAAGTGAAACTCAGGCGCAGTGGCTCACGCCTGCAATCCCAGCACTCTGGGAGGCCGAGGCCAGAGAATTGCTTGAACCCAAGTTTGAGACCAGCCTAGGCCTTATTTCTACAAATAATCAAAAACTTAAGCACACATGGTACCATGCGTGTAATCTCAGCTACTAGGGAGGCTGAGGAAGGAGGATCTGTTTAGCCTAGGAGGTTGAGGCTATGAGTGAGCTGTGATTACACCAGTGCACTCCAGTCTGTAAAACAGAGTGAGATCCTGACTCAAAAAAAAAAAGTGAAACTCATTTGCTTGGAGACAAATGTCCACATACCAGTGGAACAAATGATATGTACCATATTGGGCTTTCCTACTAGAATGGAATCTTCATGAGGGCAAGACTGGTGTTGGTTCTGTGCAGTCCTGAAGCGCTAGTACACGGCCTGGCCCAAAGCAGTCACTTAATATCTGCTGAATTGAGGATTATGCATAGTTTTAAGGGTCCTTTCTGAGCCATCGCCTGAAAGACACACTCACTCAGCGAGGTCAGTAATATTTGAGTTATATTATTCTAGTGTACAGCAAATCTAGGCCCAAAAGAATTAAGTGACTGTTCCAAGGTCACATAACTAGAAAAAAGTCAGGAACTATGATTCCAGGAGACTGGAACACAGCTCCCCGAGTTTCTGCACCAGGACATTTTCCACTATGACATCTGTGTCAAATATAGACAATAGACAGTCAAACGATACAGTGCACAAAAAAACCTGGCACTGGCCGAGTGCAGTGGCTCACACCTACAATTCCAGCACTTTAGGAAGCAGAGGCGAGAAGATTGCCTGAGCCCAGTGGTTCGAGACCAGCCTGGGCAACTTGGCAAGACCTCATCACTATAATAAATCAAAAAATAAGTTGGACATGATAGCACGTGCCTGTAGTTCCAGCTACTTGGAAGGCTGAGGTGGAAGGACTGCCTGAACCCAGGAGATCAAAGCTGAGGCGGCCGTGGGTGCGCCACTGCACTCCAGCCTGGGTGACAAAGTGAGACTCCCACTCAAAAAATAATAATAATAATAACCTGCCACATACATAACCCCACTGTGGCTGCAGGACACTCACTGGGACATTAATTTCGGTGGATCAACTGTGAATGGAAAGGTAGCGGTCAAAACAATGAGGTAATTCCTGGTCAAAAACACACGCCTGGTGCTTAACTAGCAACAGAAATTCAGAGATACATGCTGTCTCTTGACCTGAAATAAGGAGACTTCTCTCCAGAAGTGCTGGCAGGAACAGTGGGACTCAGCTGCCTGGCCCAGGCCTCTCCAATGATGGCCAGGCCACAGCTCCCCAAGGCCAGCACCTAGAGTGACAGGCAGCTCTGCAAACTCAGGCTGTAGGGACTGTGTCTTAAGAGGAAGGCCATCAGCCCCTGGGACCCCATAGAGAAATTAACATCAAAGCTGTCTTCAAAGGGAAAGGGTAGGAAAGACTTGACCAAGTCTGTTCTGTCATGCCTGTGATTCTCCAAGAAAATGCTACTGTGATCACAGGACTTGGCTCTGCTAATGGTCTCTTATCATTTCTATTCCTCTGGCTTCACTTCCATTCCCCACTCTCCTTCAAATTATGACCTTGGGTCTTTCTGTATGTCTCTAGGACACATTCAAAGGAAAGGCACTGTATGTCAATCTGAAGAAACCAATATTAATATTCACGTGCATACCTAATACCCAGGCCCTTTATGAGCAAGCCAAGTGGGAAGAAGGCAGTCTATTATTCCCGGTTAGCGCTAAGATCCTACTTAGTGAATGCAAAAGGAGATCCCTTCAGATCGTGAAGCTACTAGAAAAAGAATGAGTGTTCAGAAGATTACGCCCTGCCACTACCTAGTAGTCAGGCAACTCGGCCTATTTCCTTATTTATATATAAAATGGGAACTCAGAAAAGCAAGCTACTTCATGTCTAGGAGCATTAAAATGCTCCTAATGGCCAGGCAGGCACAGTGGCTCACTCCTGTAACTGCAGCCCATTGGCAGGCGGAGGTGAGAAGATTGCCCGAGCCCACGGGTTCGAGACCAGTCTGGGCAACATGGCCAGACCTCATCTCCACGATAAAAAAAAAAAAAAAAATTTAGCTGGGCGTGCTGGTGTGCACCTGTAGTTCCAGCTACTTGGAAAGCTCAGGCAGAAGGGTTACCTGAGCCCAGCAGGTCAAGGCCGAGGTGGCCGTGAGCATGCCACTGCACTCCAGCCTGGGTGACAGAGTGAGACACCAACTCAAAAAAAAAAAAAAAAAGCCGGGCGCGGTGGCTCACAACTAAAGTCCCAGCAATTTGGGAAGCCGAGGTGAGAGGATTGAGCCCATGGATTCGAGACCAGCCTGAGCACCTTGGAGAGGCTTCATCTCTACAATAAATCAAAAAATTAGCCGGCTGTAATGGCTCGCGCCTGTAGTTCGGCTACTTGGAAGGGTGAGGCGGAAGGATCGCCGGAGCCCAGCAGGTCGACGCTGGGGTGGCCGTGAGCGTGCCACTGCACTCCAGCCTGGGCGATGGAGTGAGATTCCGACTCAAAAAGAAAAGAAAAGCAAGTGCCATTTTATAATTAGGCACATTTGTTTCCTGGAAAGTTTTACTTTTGTCAGCTAAACTCCCAAGTAATTTGCATCTGCTTTAAAGCTCAAAGGACCACATGTTTATTATCTAACTCAATTCGTTCATTGTTTTCTTTCTAGAAGACTTGTTCCCAAATATGCTATCAGCCACAAGATGGCGCTCTAGCATAGGAAATGAACTCCTGAGCGGGGCTCTGCGGCCCGTGATTAGCATTCTGGGACCAGTAACAGTAACAGAAAAGCCCTTTGCTCACACCCCTGTCTGGACACCGGCGTTTGTGTACTTACTTTCTGAGGAAATCTTCTAAACCCTGGCGACGCTGATCCACGTGCTGGCGATTGTTCATGTTGAAAAACAGGTTTTTAGACGGAAGTTCTGGCAGTTCTCTTAAGAGAAAGAAAAAAGAAAAACATTTTTAAATGATCAAATCAAGGTGATCTCGTTACAGAAATTCTCGAAGGGAAGGCAAATTATGCAGATGATAATTATCACACAACTACTATATAGTTATTATTATATAGTTATATAATAAGGGTATGAGGAAATCGACTTAAAACACATCTTTAAACATTCCTAAAGTCTTCCATGGTCAAGATCCAGAAAAGTTGGTGAAATTCAAGTAATACTTTTTTTTTTTTTTAACTTTTGAACACTGACACATGCTCCCTCATGGACTTCTTTTTTTAATTTTTAATATTTTGTATTTTTGTAGGGACAGAGTAGGAGGGGAGTCTCACTATGTTGCCCAAGCTGGTCTTGGACTTCTGGCTTCAAGCAATCTGCCCACCTCAATCTCCCAAAGTTCTAGAATTACAGGCGTGGGCTACCACGCCCAGTCTCAAGTGATACATTTTTAATTCGGGTGCAGTAGCCACAAAACTAACTAAAGCTATATAATGTCATCAAGAAGACAGTCATAAAATCCTTCATGTCTTATATATCTTAATGCACATCAATTTTTAAATATTGAATATAATAGTAAAGTCTTCTTTGTTTTTTGTTTGTTTGTTTTTGAGTTGGAGTCTCACTCTGTCGCCCAGACTGGAGTGCAGTGGCCGCTCCCGGCCACCACAGCCTCGACCTGCTGGGCTCCGGCGATCCTTCCGCCTCAGCCTTCCAAGTAGCCGGAATTACAGGCATGCGCTACCACTGATTTTTTGATTTATTGTAGAGATGAGGTCTCGCTGCCCAGGCAGGTCTCGAACCCGCGGGCTCAGGCAATCCACTCACCTCAGCCTCCCAAAGGCACGGGATTACAGGCTGAGCCACCGAGCCCAGCCATAGTAAAGTCTTCTTAATATACTGTCTTAAAAAATCACTTATACGGCCATTGTTCTGCTAAGCTATGGTCTGGCCATGTGCTCTTTGAGCTGTGGCCGCCAGATTCCTAAGCTTTGGCTCCCTCTCCTACCTTGGAGAGGTAAATCTCTTCTCTCGTTTCTCTTTCTCTCTTCTCTAATTTACTTTCTAAATAAACTATATTTCTTTATTTAAAATAAAAATAAATAAATAATAAATTACTTACACCAGCAATGCATTACTTTGAAGCCTCTGTCTGAGCCACACAAATTCTCTGTATCTTCTTCGTACACAGGATGTTTTCATGGTAAAACACATGCTATTCGTCTGTAGAGAAAAATAGAAAAATATAAGCCTCACCAAGGGGGAAAAAATGTCTTTCTTATATCTGTAACTCACAATATAGTCCCAATATTCATTCTAAATAGGATTTAAACTACCAAAAATATATTCACCCTTAATGCCAGTACCCTGAAATGTCTCCACATGACCCACCAACATAGCCCAGGAGACAGCCAGGATGGCCTGAGTGAGGCATGACCTGGCCACTCCCTGAGTCCTGAAGGAGCCTCTGGCTCACCTATCAGCACTGCTTTCCAGGATAAATCATAAGAAATAAACAAATCCTAAAGTATAAATTACCCAGAAGAGCTCAGGGTCTTCCGTTGCATTTTAATACCATCCCCTGGCCAGGAGCAGTCCGCTGGTAATCCCAGCACTTTGGGAGGCTGAGGCAGGAGGATTGCTTGCGCCCAGGAGCTCAAGACCAACCTGGGCAACATAGCAAGATCTCACCTTCTACCAAAAAAAAAAAAAGAACATTAGCCAGGCATGGTAGTGAGCACCAGGAATCTCCGCTACTTGGGAGGCTGAGGTGGGAGAATCACTTCAGCCCAGGAGTTTGAGGTTGTGATGAGCTGGATTATGCCACTGCATCTTAGCCAGGTGACAGAGTGAGATCCTCAACTCAAAAAAGAATTCTTTTTTGAACTTAAAAAAATTAGCCGGGCATGGTGGCATGCATCTGTAGTTCCAGCTACTTGGAAGGCTGAGGCAGAATGATCACCTGAACCCAGCAGGTCGAGGCTGCCGTGGCTGTGATGGTGCCACTGCACTCTAGCCAGGTGACAGAGTGAGATCCTCAACTCAAAAAAATTTTTTTCTTTTTTTTACTTAAAAAAAATACCACCATCCATGTGCTGGAGGAGGCTTTGAGAATTAGAGACACCTTCCCACAGCCTTTTAAAAGACATCACAGAAGTCATCAGCTTCACGACATGGCCATCCCTGAAGGTTACATAAATCACCAGGAATCCTGAAATCACCTTTAAACTAGAGAACAGCACTTCCCTTCTCTACTAGACATGAGAGGGTGTGTGATCAGAGTCAGAGAGCAGCAATCATGCCTGGGGACTAATATCTGGTGTAGGGGACCGGCATACAGAAATTCCAGTCCTGGCTCTGCCACAGGACAAGTCACTTAAACTTCTGTTTCTTAAGGCCAGGTGCAGTGGCTCATGCCTATAATCCCGGTACTTTGGGAGGCCGAGGTGACAGGATTACCTGAGCCCATGGGTTCGAGACCAGCCTGGGCAACTTCACAAGCCCTCACCTCTACAATAAATCAGAAAATTATCTGGGCTTGGTGGTGTATGCCTGTAGCTCCAGCCACTTGGAAGGCTGATGCGGAAGGATCACCTGAGCCCAGCAGGTCGAGTCTGTAGTGGCTGTGAGTGTACCACTGTACTCCAGCCTGGGTAACAGAGTGAGACTCTGACTCAAAAACAAACAAACAAACAAACTTCCATTTCCTAAGTACTGAAACTGGATGAACTAACACATATGTAGTTCTCAGGGCGGTTGCAAGCACTTGGCAAATGTTATCTTCAATATTATTATTGGTTACTAAGTGTTGGTTTCTTTCTGGGTGCCCAGAGACACACTTGGAAAAAGTCACCTGTAGAGTGCCCACCCTAGGCTAAGGGTCTCCTCTGGGTAAACCCCAGGTGGAGTAAATACTCTCCTGGCGGAAAGCCGGAGGCCAGCAAGTCTTTGCATCTCCTGGTTTTTGAAAAGAAGAATATCTCTATTTTTTATATTTGTTTCAAAATTCTGTTTTGTAATCTTCATTGCCAATGACAAACAATTTTTTTTTTTTTTGGCTCCCAAGATTTGTACTATTTCAAGTTATTATTCTACCACTTAAGCCCAAGAATTGTTTTCCTGGGGAAATCTACGTAATTACGTGCATTAGGTCCTAAACTGTTCCCATGAAATATATGGCACAGTTCCCGGTATTCATAGACTTTCTAAGGTGAAGCATGCAGGCAAGTTAAGAGACACGCCCCCAAAGTAGCCACTGCTCTAAATCTTCACTAACATTGACGATGTGGTGGCAAACACGATGGAAGGTAATATTCTGAGGGTAGATTTCAGAGCACACCAGGGCCTCACTTTAGTGTGCTCCATGGGAACTAAGCCAGCAGACTGTGTCACACCAGAATCAGTGCCCTAACAAGGCTCGAGCAGGCATCTTCTCAGTACCCACTCCCTGGAGACCCCTGCAAGGGACTCCTGGCATCTCGGGTGAGGACAGGGTGGACTGTCACTCCCTTTAATTTCTCTGCTCAAATCATCGTGGCTAACAATAACTAAACATGGGACCTACGCCAGACTGAGGCCCCCCAAGTCCCTCATTTGCAGGACAGGCTCAGGAGAGGACAGAGAATGGCCTGCCAGCTCCAGAGTCTCCTAGGTTAAAATTCCAAGTGAATGTTAAGATGTCAGAGTCCCCTGATAACATCTCCCTGGAGGTTAATTTAAGAGTTACGCCAAAGTCCTATGGGAGCAGCATCTAAGAGGGGCCAATGAGAGATTCCTAGCCTCCAGTTCACTTTTAATTGTTGGCGGAGGCCATGACAATCCAAGACTCAGCATGGGAACCGAATGAAGACACCCTTCTGGAAGGCAAAGCCCCAGAAGGGATCCGTGTACGTGGCAAAGCCCCATGGAAAGTCTTCAGGAAAGTTCTACATGAATGTCCTGTGACTCATGGTCGCCTGTTTGTTCCCATTATATTGTTATGCTTATGCCTTACAGGAATAATATGCTTAAATCTCCCCTTGGGAAAGAATGCTGTGACTAAAGTTATGGATTACAGCATCTATAATGTTAATAATAAAGCAGCTAATGTTTCAAATGGCGGAGGCCATGACAGTCCAGGACTCAGCATGGGAACCGAATGAAGACACCCTTCTGAAAGGCAAAGCCCCAGAAGGGATCCGTGTGTGTGGCAAAGCCCCACGGAAAGTCTTGAGGAAAGTTCTACATGAATGTCCTGTGACTCATGGTCGCCTATTTGTTTCCATTATATTGTTCAATAATAAAGCAGTTAATGCTTCACCATTGGCCATGCCTTAGGAAATGCAAATAGCAACACAACGGGTCACAATGACCCAACCAATTACTCCAAAACCTACTGTGAAGAAGTGTACTTTTAACTGTTCTACTTTATGTTAAAACTATGGTATCGAGAAATGACAGAAACTGAGGTACAAACTAAAGCAAACACAATTAAGCCATACAAACAACACCAGAGTAGTCACAAGTTTAAAGCTTGGAAACAATATCACAAACCCTTGCCAACTGTTAGAGCAGGCCCCCATATAGGTTATAATATGAATGGTAGAATTTGGTGGGTATCTAGAGGAAAGAGTAGTATACAAAACTTAGAATGGCTTGACCCTCCACTACCTTATACAGGTACATATGATGATAATATGGTTAGAAAAGTCTGGATAGGTGAAAGACATGTTAAATAAAAAAACTTATCTTTATGGGGAAAAAATAAAACGCAGTGGGCCCCCTTGGTGCCTGCTTTCTAAAACCCAAAAAGGTCAGTACTTAGTAAAAAGTAAAATGATTGGTATATATAAATAAATATAGACACTGCCTCATCACAGACAGCAACCTTTAAATTAAAACTATATAAAAGTTATATGCCTAACACCTTTATATCTATATAGACTATTTACCTTTATAAAGCATAAGTTTTACTTTCCACTTGCTAACCTTTTGACTAATATTAACCTTGCCCTTTTAATAAGTTACCACTTCCAAGAACAGCTAATTTCTTATATGTAGACATTATTAAACCGTATAATTATCAGAATTGTAAAATCATTAGTACATCATACAATCGTTTCGATATGTTTTGATTGTTAATTTTTTCCTTTACTGTTAACTTTCTGCTAAGTGTGTGCCAAAAATTATGACATAAATAAATCAGCACTGGTGTGCTTCAGTGCCAGAGTGCCTAAAAGAAACTCTGGTCACGACTCTTCCTTCCCTCACCTCATCACGCCTCCTTCTCAGGTCCCCGTGAACCCCCCGGAGCTGGCCTCTGGCAAATTGTACAACAGATAGAGGCGGCCTCCCCAGGGTTACACTATGCTGAGTTCACTAACTGATGAAGCTCCCCCACCTGGTCTGGTTGCTTTTTCTGCGATTCAAAGACGTATCCATTGTTAATTGATGAGCATTTCAGGGAAGCACTGGGACACCATCGAATAATATTTGTGGAGCCCAGCACTCCTGGCCCCACATGGAGATTTCTAAATTCACACCACTGTTTACATAGCAGAGAAGAACCCATGCTTTCATTAACCCAGGAGAACAATGACATTTCATGCGTATCATAAAGTGTGTGGTGAGTACTCACACAATTTTTTTTTAGAGAAAGTCAAAAGACAACTAGAGAACTTCAGTTCACTTCAAATGCTTTTTCTTATATGCTTATCATTTTCTACACAGAATGCAACTCTAGTGTGAGCTTGAATGAAACCAAAATGCAATCCAAATAAGTGGCATTTCCTGGCAACAGCCTGCCACCCAACTAAAAAAGCGGTTCTGAGTTTTGACTTTGTTAATATTCCAAGTTGTGAAACCTTGAAAGAAAAAACGGAAGAAAGGAGAGAAACAAAAAAACAAAGGTTTTATGCAGCTGTTTGGGTGTCCAGTCTACCAATTTAGCTATTCACACTGGGAAGAATACATGATAGCTAAATTTTTCTTCACTTGTGCTATGAAGTCTCATTGCTCCCAAGTTTGAACTGATTTAGTTTGCATCTGATGCATATCTGGTTTAGATGCAAAAAGTGACTATCTTCAAGAGCAGGGGCCAAAATGATAGCCTGAGGACCAAATCAGGTCTGCCACCTGTCTTTGCAAACAAAGTTTTATTGGAAAACAATTCAGCTATTCATGGACAAACCAGCTTTGGCTGCTTTCCCCTTACAACAGGAACCAGTCATCTCAATAGAAACAATGCTGGCCCACAAGACTGAAGACTTTTGCTACCTTTACAGAAAAAGTTTGCTGACCCTTGCTCAAGATGACCACAGAAGGCCACATAACATACAACATTGTTCAAGAGATTATGATACAGAAATATTCGAGCAAAAGTATGTCATTTCCAGTTGTTTACTCATCACATTCATTACTCAGAATCTAGACAAATTAATTGCAGATTAATTGCATGTATTCATTTCCTACTTTGAGTCTATATAAAAAACACTACACATCTCTTTTCCAGAGAACTCTATGTCCTCTCAAAACCTGAGATTTATTAGGCATTATAATCAACCAGAAATATGTCATAGCAGATCATGAAGTCATTAATGAGCTGTAAATAATCTTTAGTCCTGAATCTTTGCTGTACACACATCTTCATACCTGCAATAAACACTACAATATTAATATTACCAAAGTTACAGTAGGGGATTCAAGTAAATCATTTTTCAACTTTAGGAACCACCTAACTACTTTCATTTAAGATGTAAGCATTATTTGCCAATATTCAAGTTCAGTTATTTAAATTAGGAACACGTTTACAAATTTTAATTTTAGGTAGATCATAGTATCCCATGATCTGTATGCTACCTACAAATTACTATTTCTATTGACTACTGACTACATACTTACATGAATACATATCTCATAGTCAATGTAAGAATGCCAGAAGTCCTCCTTCTGAATCCTAGGATCTCGAACCCAGACACTTACAAATTCCTGTAACGGCATCATAAACAAAGAAATATGTTTCAGAACTGCAAGTCGGACTGGAAAGAGCAGAGAGAAACGACTGTGCTAAAACGAAACTGAAATGAGCTTCATTTCAGTGGTCAGCCTTTAAAAAACAAGAAGTCAAGTCAATGAATCAGGCACCATGGGCAAGTCCAGAAAACACTTTTGCAACAAATGAAATTTTGAAAATGCAAAACAGAGTAGGGTGCACTTCTGGATAGTTTTACAAGTTATCTGAAGCCAAAGTAAATTCTAGAGGTATTTTTTAAAATTTTTAGTCATGAAACATAGGTTCACATTTTTCTCAAATGTTAAAAGTGATCATTTCTTACTTTCTTTATCTCTCTAAAGTAATACCAGGGCTCAGTCTGGTAAATAACTTCCTGGAACACAAATAAGAAAGGGTAGCAAAGGGCATGTGAAAAGTAAGCAATGAGTGTTGACATTGACTTTGTGAGTGCAACCCAGCCTCATGAGAATAAGCAGTAATAATTTATTAATAGAAAGATGAACACCTTCCTTTATACAATGCTTGTCTTTTTAAAATGTCCTGCCCATATATTATTATTTTATCATGATATTTTTGTGCTATAGGTTAAAAAGATAAAGAAATCATATACAGTAGATAATTTTCTTCCTTTGTAAAGATAATAAGAATAGGAAATACAGGATAAAATTTTAAACAACACTTATTTTATTTTATTAATTTTTTTTTTGTTGTTTGAGTCAGTCTCACTCTGTAGCCCAGGTTGGAGTACAGTGGTACAATCACAGCTCACCACAGCCTCAGGGATAAAGCAGACCCTGCCTAGAGATGGAAACAAAAGCAATACCCTGGACGCCAGGCTTTCCACTTCTGTCTCCTGTCACTCTGTGTGCACACGTGTGTGTGTGTGTTAAACTCATTCTCTTATAGAACTTTTCACATACCCACAGTTCCTAGAATCAATCAACCAACCAATCACCCAAGATTCAATAAACAGAAAGACTAATAGATTAGGAATAGGAGAGACAACCAGGAATCCAGAGTAGACCACATCACCCGGCCTCAGTCCCAACCCTACACACATGCTCAGGCTGCATCCTGACTTTCACAAGACCTAGGAACTTCTGCCTTCATGGGTCCTTTCCTCCACACAAAAAATTAAAAGGCATAGTTTAAACTACAATGAAATAAAGATGAATATATTAATAACATATATTAAAACCTTTTCTTGTTTTGTTTTGAGTTGCCCTGGCTGGAGAGCAGTGGCACGCTCACAGCCACCACAGCCTCGACCTGCTGGGCTCAGGCAATCCTTCTGCCTCAGCCTTCCAAGTAGTTGGAACTACAGGCATGTGCCATCACACCGGCTTAATTTTTTGATTTATTGTAGAGACAAGGTCTCGCCATGTTGCCCAGGCTGGTCTTGAGCCCGTGGACTCAGGCAATCCTCTCGCTTCTGCCTCCCAAAGTGCTGGGATGACAGGCGTGAGCCACCACGTCCAACAAAACCTTTTATTTAACCTGGGAGTTGATTTTATTTTTCTGATTTTAAAAGGAATCAAAATACTTTGATAGGCTCCTAAAGTAGTGTGGGCTCCGGGTACAATGCCCAGGAGGGAAGTCAGCCTGCCTTCACTCTGAGCAAGGAAGCAGAGGTGACAAGAGAAGCCCAGGTCATCCTGCCCCCTTTCAGACAGACTCCAGGATGGCTCTCAGTCACCAGGTCACATGCGGGCCACGCTCCCTCAGAAGGTGCTGCAGCTCTACTTTTCCACTGAAGAGGCAGAAGTTCCTGGATATATCAAAAAGGGAAATTAACAATTTCCAGCAGCTTAGTATTCCACATGAACAGCAGAAGACATGCACCTGATACTGAAATAGTGGGCATTACACAGATGGCACGAAAATGAAAAATCAGGAAACACATTTGTCAACTTGCTACAAATTCGTGATTTTTTATTTTATTTATTTATTTTTTTTGAGTTGGAGTCTCACTCTGTTACCCAGGATGGAGTGCAGTGGCACGCTCACAGCCACCGCAGCCTTGACCTACTGGACTCAGGCGATCCTTCTGCCTCAGCCTTCCAAGTAGCTGGAACTACATGCATGCGCCACCAAGCTCGGCTAAGTTTTTGATTTATTGTAGAGACAAGGTCTCACCAAGTTACCCAGACTGGTCTCGAACCCATGGACTCAGGCAATCCTCTCACTTCTGCCTCCCAAAGTGCTGGGATTACGGGCTGAGCCACCGCGCCTGGCCCAAATTCGTGATTTTTTTAAAAAGGTAATGGGTCAGGTGCAGGGGCTCACACTTGTAATCCCAGCACTTTCGGAGGCTGAGGCAGGAGAATCACTTGAGCCCAAGAGTCCCAGACAAGCCTGAGCAACATAGTGATACCTCATCTCTACAAAAAATAAAAACAGCCCAGCATGGTGGCATGCTCCTGGAGTCCCAGCTACTCAGGAGGCTGTGGTGGGAAGCTTGCTTGAGGCCAGGAATTCAAGGTTGCGGTGAGTCATGATCATGCCACTGCACTACAGCCTGGGTGACAGAGCAAGATCCTGTCTCTAAATAAATAAGTAAAAATTTGAAAAGGTTTCTGAATTAAAACTATAAAATCCACAGTTACTACAATGCCACATACCCCTGACCACTCAACATATTAGTTGATGATAGTAGTAATGACAACTAGTTCTGGGGGAAAAAAAGATTAAAACAGGGCTTTTTTTTTTTCCTGTTGGTGATTGCCCAGTTACTAACACACAAACTTTTAGCGGCAGGTCCCTTTTCATGGAAAGAACACTGAATTTATAGTCACAAGACGGGCTAAATTCTGGCTCACCTACTTTCTAAATGAGAAACTTATTCACTGAGTCTCAGTTTTCACATCTGGAAAAATGGAACCATGCCTGTCCAACCTATTCCAGCTGTTTGCTAGGTGGATCAAATTATAAAATACTGGTGAAAGCAATGGGAAAATTTTCACCAAGAGACACATGAATAGAAAGTATTATTAGACAGAAAGAAAAATGCCTATCAACCAAAAGCAGTGAGGTCATGTAAGATGCTGAGCTCCTGTATGACAGCATAGGTTGCTTTGTAAGACTGAGTGCCTAGGCCGGGCTCAGTGACTCACACCTGTAATCCCAGCATTTTGGGAGGCAGTGGTAAGAGGACTGCCTGAGCCCAGGGGTTTGAGACCAGCCTGGGCAACTTGACGAGACCTCATCTCAACAAAAATTTAAAAATTAGCCAAGTGTGGTGGTGCGTGCCTGTGGTTCCAGCTACTTGGAAGGCTGAGGCGGAAGGATCACCTGAGCCCAGCAGGTGGAGTCTGCAGTGGCTGTGGGCGTGCCACTGCACTCCAGCCTGGGTGACAGAGTGAGACTCTGACTCAAAAAAAAAAACAAACGACTGAGTGCCTGGCACATTAACTGGCATTAAGCAATTAAGAAATGCTGAATACACACACACAAATATATGTATACAGGATCGTTCTTCAGCAAAAGGCAGAGTAGCCTAACCATGTCACAGTCCTTGCTCAGAGCAGGCACTTCATAATATGTGTAGAAGGAATGGACAACACAATGACAAATTATGGTCAAGTCTCTATTTTCCTCATCTCAGTGGGTTGGAATTCTCAGACTCTGCCATCATTATCAGTCATTAAGTCTAATCTTTAATTAGGGAAGGGTATGTTTAATACATATTTTTAAACCATGCTAGGGGGAAAAATGTCTTCTAAGAACACAGCAATGCATTTTTTTTTTTTTTTTTGAGTTTTTTGAGTTGGAGTCTCATTCTTGCCACCCAGACTAGAGTGCGAGTGGCATGCTCACAGCCACTGCAGTCTCAGCCTCCTGGGCTTAGGCAATCCTTCCACCTCAGCCTTCCAAGTGCTGGAACTACAGACTCAAGCCACCATGCCCGGCTAGGTTTTTGTGATTTATTGTACAGAAAAGGTCTCACTAAGTTGCCCAGGCTGGTCTCAAACCCCTGGGCTCAAGCAATCCTCTCACCTTGGCCTCCCAAAGTGCTGGGATTACAGGTTGAGCCACCGCGCCCTGTCAGTGCATTTTAAATGCACCCTCAAAATTCACCATGGCACTGAGACTTCAATTATTTTTTTCAACCGTGAAAGTCTTTAACTTGGTTGGAGCGCTGAGTATTGCTATCCTCTTGTGGATGCCAACTTTTCTTCCTTCTTGACTCCCTGCGACGTTGCTTGCCTCTGGGAGCCATCCTTGGCTGCTGCTCTTTGTCACAATTCTAGGGTGACCTCATCCAAACACTTTCAACACCCCGTGTGCACTGGTGATTCCCACCCCCTGCTCCATGCCAGCCCAGGCATCTCTCCCATGTCTCCAGCCTGATCCACCTACAAGTCCCATGAGCACTCGAGGCCCACATCCTTCCCACATCATCCTGCTCTCCATCCCAGTGAAGAGCATCCCCATCAATCCCAGCCAGAAACCCAGCTCCCCCAGACTTCTCTGACTCACCCCCCAAATCCACGCAGACCAAGTCCTTCACACTCACTCTTCTTCGAAGCCCCCACAACTCTCCTCCCTCTGCTGCTGCCTTGGTTCAAGGCCCTCTTGCCCAACATGAATGCAAAAGCTGCTCACTGACCTCTGGACTATCTTCAGTGCACCCACACCAAGACAAGGATGGCTCCAAAACACACATCTCAGGGTGTTGCTTCCCTGCTGACAGTCCTTCAAAAGCTGCCCCATAACCTCAAGGTCAAGTTCAAATTCTCAGCTTGACAATACAGCCTTTCAGGATCTCACTCTACTTATCTTCAAAGGGCAAGCTTAGATCCCCACACACAACATATCATTTCTCACTTCCATGCCTTTGAATATGCTCTTCTTTCTGCCTGGACTGCTGTCCATATGCTACTTTTTTTTCCTTTTATCTTTTCTTTTTTCTTCTACCATTTTTTGCTAACCCCAATGCATTTTTCTTTTTTTTCTTTTCTTTTCTTTTTTTTTTTTTTGAGTCAGAATCTCACTCTGTCACCCAGGCTAGAGTGCAATGGCACGCTGCTCACGGCCACCACAGCCTCGACCTGCTGGGCTCAGGTGATCCTTCCACCTCAGTCTTCCAAGAAACTGGAACTACAGGCATGTGCCACCAAGCCCAGCTAATTTTTTTGATTTATTTTAGAGACGAGGTCTCACCATGTTGCCCAGGCTGGTCTCAAACCCACAGGCTCAGCCAATCCTCTTGCCTAGCCTCCCAAAGTGCTGGTATTATAGGCGTGAGCCACCGTGTCTGGCTAATTATGCCTTTTTTTTTTTTTAGTCAGAGTCTCACTCTGTCGCCCAGGCTAGAGGACAGTAGTACACTCACAGCCACGCAGCCTCAACCTGCTGGGCACAGGCAATCCATTCTCCTCAGCCTTCCAAAAAATGGAACTATAGGCACGGGCCGCCACGGCTGACTAATTTTTGATGTAGAGGTGACGTCCTGCCAAGTTGCCCAGGCTGGTCTTGAACCCATTGACTCAGGCAATCCTCTCATCTTGGCTTCCCAAAGTGCTGGGATTATAGGCATGAGCCGTGCCCAAATTCATTTTTTTTTTTTTTTTTTTTTTTTAGTTGGAGTCTCACTCTGTCGCTCAGAGTGGAGTGCAGTGGCCGCTCCCGGCCACCGCAGCCTCGACCTGCTGGGCTCCAGCGATCCTTCCGCCTCAGCCTTCCGAGTAACTGGAACTACAGGCGCGCACTACCACGCCTGGCTAATTTTTTGATTTATTGTAGAGATGAGGTCTCGCGGCCCAGGCGGGTCTCGAACCCACAGGCTCAGGCAATCCACTCACCTCAGCCTCCCAAAGGCGCGGGATTACAGGCTGAGCCACCAAGCCTGGCTAAATCCATTTTTCAAATGCAACTCAGACACCACTCCTGGAAATCCTCCTCAGATTCACCCGATCTGACTTGCTGGGCCTTCCTCTGAGACCCTAATGCCTCTTGGCACAGTCCCTGCTCATCACACCCTGCTGTGCTGTCCCGCAGTTGCCTGGAGGCCTCCTCCAACAGACACTAAGCTCCTGGGGGGCAGCTTAGGCTGTCTTATGGGACTTGAGTGCCTGGCATTCCATTAATATCATATAATGAACAAATCAATGCCTGCAGGAATAAACAAATCACTTTCAGGAAAAGACGGAGTTCAAACTTCAGTTGAAATAAAAACATCCACGTGGTTCCTTGGGCTCAATGAATTAATGATAAGTTATTTAGCAGCTGGTCTAAAGTTTATCTTAATTTAACAAACCCCTTCCTCTAAGGGTATGCCAATTAACAACACAGGGACGCAAGAGCAATGTTTAAGATCCATGAGGATGAACTGTTTTCCAGCAACCTCAAGAACTCCAAAACACCTATTTACACAGAAATAATTGAAAAATCATTCTGATGGCTTCAGTAACTCAGTCCCCTAAGACCTGTACCAAGCAACCATTCGTTAGCCTAGTTGGAGTTAAAATATGTACTTGAAAGTCATAAAAGTACATTTATTTTAAAATATTCTATAATTCAGATGGGCCTCACCTCCTCTGCCCTGCAATTAGTAGGAATTAGTGAAGCTTCACCGTACTCCCAGCTACAAATAGCACACCCAGGAAGCCAAGGCTCACCTATAAGCTCTTAATTAGACGCATCCCTCACGACACTGGCCACCATCCTTCAAAGGAATGTTGACAGCCTGTCAGCCACAGAGGACAGCTCAGAGCCCCTTACCTAGAACCATATGGATTTCCTATGAAAATTGCTCCAGCAGCGCAGTTAGTCAATTTAATAACCTTATTAAATACTTTAATGACTTCTTGGGCCTAATGACTATATCTAGTATGAAAGAAAAAGCCAGGCAGAGTAGAATTAAAAATTTAAACTAACCGTCCTTCCCGTTCTCCATGTGAAAGCAGACTTCTGAAGAAAGACAGACAGCTAGACTCCTTGAAGATCTAATTCCTGTGTTCTCTTCTAATAATCACCCTTCGACTTCCATGTACCCTGTTTTCCCTCACCCTGCCCCAGGTTCAACCATTATCCATTTCAACCTTGTCTTTTTTTTTTTCCTTAGCCCTGATGTGAGATGAAATTAGTAATAAAAACAGCTGAATTGATAGTGCCAGGCAATGCACTGCTTTACAGATGTTTTCCTTCAATCTTTACAGTGATCCTAAGAGCTCAGTGTATTCTCATCCCATTTTACAGATTTAAAAAAAAAAAAGGAGGCTTCTAAAGCTTAAGCAACTGGCCCAGAGTCAAATGACTAGTAAGGCTGAGCTGGGTTTCAAGCTCAGGTCTGCCTTGTTCCAAAGCCTATGCTCTCAAACACATTCTATCTAGAGGTTCTTTTAGCAATAAGTATTGGGTAATTGCCAGTTTCACTGTAATTGCATTGTTTTGGAGATGGAAAATTGTTCTGCCTTCCTATTAGCTAAAATAACAGTTTTAAAACCATGATCTTAGCCGGGTTCGGTGGCTCAGCCTGTAATCCCGCGCCTTTGGGAGGCTGAGGTGAGGGGATTGCCTGAGCCCGCAGGTTCGAGACCCGCCTGGGCAGCAAGACCTCATCTCTACAATAAATCAAAAAATCAGCCGGGCGTGGTAGCGCATGCCTGTAATTCCGGCTACTCGGAAGGTTGAGGTGGAAGGATCACCGGAGCCCAGCAGGTTGAGGCTGCGGTGGTAGGGAGCGGCCACTGCACTCCAGTCTGGGCCATACAGTGAAACTCCAACTCAAAAAAAAAAAAAAAACCATGATCTTCTGAAAATCTGTCCCTCTACCTCTCAAAGCTTGGTATTTCATTTCTGAATTTCTATCAACAAGCATAATACTAGCACAAAGTAAATGCATATTAAATGTCTGAAGACGTTTCTCAGATGTCAAAAAATGTTTAAAAAGAAGTAACAAACGTTTGAAAACTAAGAAGTTTATTCCAAAGAACATTTTTTATTCTCTCTTTCTTTTTTTTTTGAGTTGGAGTCTCACTCTGTCGCTCAGGCTGGAGTGCAGTAGCATGCTCACAGTCACCACAGCTTCAAACTGCTGGGCTCAAACAATCTTCCACCTTCCAAGTAGCTGGAACTACAGGGACGTGCCACCATGCTCAGCTAATGTTTTGATTTATTGTAGAGAAGAGGTCTCACCAAGCTGCCCAGGATGGTCTCAAACCCCTGGACTCAGGGAATCCTCTTGCCTCAGCCTCCCAAAGTGCTGGGATTACAGGCTTGAGCCACCACATCTGGTTTACAAAGAACTTTTTTTTTAAAGAACATTTTTTAAAGGTGTACAGGTTCTATATGCTGAAAGTTATAGGATGTCTTTGAAAGAAATCAAAGAAGAGAAATACTAAGGTCTAAATTGGAAGACCCAACATGGTCAAAAGATAAAATCTCCCCAAATCGATCCATATGTTGAACACAATTCCTATAAAAATCCCAGCAAAATTTTTGGAAAACATTGATGGGCTTATTCTTATAATAGCCAAAACAATTCTGAAAAAGAATAAAGTGGGAGGAATTCCTCTTACCGGTTTTAAGGCTATGGTAGCCAAGACAGTGAGGTGGTGGCAAACGAAGAGAAACGTAAACCAACAGAATGGAAAAGAAAACCTAGGAAACAGCCTACACAAAATATGCCCAACTGATTTTTGACAAAAGTGCAAAACAGAATTCAATGAAAGAGTTAAAGCTTTCTCGACAAATGGTTCTGGAACAACTGAACATCTACAAGCCAAAAAACTAGCTTTGGCCTAAACTTTGCACTTTTACAAAATTTAACTCAAAATGGAGCACAGACTTAAATGTAAAACATAAAACTATAAAATTTTTATTTTAAAAATATTAATAAGAGAACTTCTTTAGGGCCTCGAACTAGGTGAAGAGTTCTTTGACTTGATGCCAAAAGGAAAAAGTGATAAAGTGGGCTTCACCAAACCTAAAAACCTTTGCTCTGCAAAGACCGTGTGAGAAAGTTGAAAAGAAAAATTACAGACAGTCAGAAAATATTTGCAGGCCAGGCATGGTGGCTCACACCTGCAATCCCAGCATTTTGGGATGACAAAACTGAAAGATTGCTTGAACCTAGGAGTTCAAGACATGTCTAGGCAACATAGTGAGACCTCGTCTCCACAAAAAAATTTTTTAAATTAGCACACGTATATAGTCCTAGCTACTGGGGATGCTGAGGAGGGTGGACTGCTTGAGTCCAGGAGTTGGAGGCTGCAGTGAACTGTGACTGTGTCACTGAATCCAGCCTGGGCAACAGAGTGAGACTCCAATTCAAAAAAAGAAAAAAATAATTTTTTTTTTTTTTTGCAGAGAAAATGCATCCAGAATATATTTTTTTAAATTTTAGCATTTAAAAAAAATTCCATTAGAAAACAGGCAAGAGACATTTTACCAGAGAACACACAGATGGCAAACAAGCACATAGAAAGATGCTCAGCATCACTGGCCATTAGGGAAGTGCAATTAACACCAAAATAATACATTGCATACGCCTATTACACTTTCCAGTGTTATCACTACTTTTTTTTTTTTTTGAGTTGGAGTCTCACTCCATCGCCCAGACTGGAGTGCAGTGGCCGCTCCCGGCCACCGCAGCCTCGGCCTGCTGGGCTCCGGCGATCCTTCCGCCTCAGCCTTCCTAGTAGCTGGAACTATAGGCGAGAGCTACCACGCCCAGCTAATTTTTTGATTTATTGTAGAGAAGAGGTCTCACCAAGTTGCCCGGGTGGGTCTTGAACCCACGGGCTCAGGCAATCCACTCACCTCAGCCTCCCAAAAGCGCGGGCTGAGTCACCGAACCCGGCGATAGGCGTGCTCTTTAGATTTTCCTTCACAGCCTAGCTTTAATCTTGTTGGTACAATAAAGATGGGTAGGCATTAAATATTAAAGTATTTACTTAGATTACAAAAGATGAATAAAGACAAAAGCTAATAAAGCAGCATCTACAGGTATTAGGTGAATATTAATTTTTCCTAGCTTTTTTTTTTTTTTTTTTTTTTAAGTTGAAGTCTCACTCGGTCACCCAGACTGGAGTGCAGTGGCCGCTCCCGTCCACCGCATCCTCGCCTGCTGGGCTCCGGCGATTCTTCCGCCTCAGCCTTCCTAGTAGCTGGAATTACAGGCATGCGCTACCACGCCCGGCTGATTTTTTGATTTATTGTAGAGATGAGGTCTTGCTGCCCAGGTAGGTCTCGAACCCGCGGGCTCAGGCAATCCACTCACCTCAGCCTCCCAAAGGCACAGGATTACAGGCTGAGCCACCGAGCCCGGCTAGTTTTCCTAGCTTTGATGAGAATTTTCCATCACAAAAATGAAAACCTTTTTCAATTTGTTCTTCCTTCTTGGGACTTTTTTCCCCTATTCTAAAGTACTGTTTCTTTCATATGACCCCGCAATCTCCCTACTGGGAATATACCTGGAAGAACTCAAATCACTCTATGAAAAAGACACCTGCACACGCATGTTTACTGCAGAATTATTTACAATAGCAAAAACATGGTGCCCATTGAAAGAGGACTGGATTTTAAAAATGTGGTACATATACACGATGGAATATTACACAACCATAAAGAAGGACAAAATTATGAACTTTGCAGCAACTTAGATGGACTTAAAGTCTATAATACTCAGTGATCTATAACAGAAACAAAGAACTGAGTACCACATGTTCTCACTCATAAGCAAACCTTGAACAATTATCATAATACTATAAGAAAGGGATTGGAAGTAGTGGGAAACTGCCAGGGAAGGGAGGGACACACCTCATCAACAAGGTTACCTGCATAATGAACATTTGTATATCTTACCTTGAATTGTACCCCACATCTTCAAAATAAAAAAAAAAATTTTAAATAAAATACTGTTTCACTTGTGTATATACATAAACTGGACACTCATTCATTCATTCACTCAATTAAAATATATTGTGTACCAACTATGTGCTAGGCACTTTTCTACACAACTAAAGATTATAGAATGTATTACCAGTGTCTCAATGACCAGAGTTCCAGTCAAAATCCCCACATAATAATCTCACAACTAAAATCTAGACTATTTCATACACTACATTCTTTACAAATAACAAGGTTGAAAGGTAGACGAAATGTGTCAA